TCTTTTTTCTGGGTCCCTTTGTTTTCCAGTGACCAGGCAAAACAGATGATTTCGTATCCCTTTGTTTTCCACTAACCAGGCAAACAAAAAAGAAGTTTTTTTGCCGGGGTCCTATTTCCAGCCTAGCTTTCAGGTTCCAACGCCTCCTTTTTAAACGTCCATTTGCTTAAGAATCTGTTTATTTCGAGCCTGTTGACACGGAACCGGGGAGAAACGCGGGACCCGGCCCCTTCAGAAGGAAAGTGGCCCACCGAAGGTCAAGTTCCAATTGGTTCCAATTGGCGGGAGGGTAAATGATCACTCACTTTGGGAGAATCTTCCATCTGCTTAAGAGTATTTTTTTTGTTTTTCTCCCTTGGTTTTAAAGGGAATCTATCGCTACTGGACATATTTTTATTTTTTCCAGGGGGCTTAAGCAAATGGAGGGATTGAGACTTTCCAACCAGCAAAGAGCGAGAAGCGTTCGACTTTTCAAGGAGGAAACTCCCGCCGACCACTGTGGCAGTTTCGGCGGTATGCTTGTGCTTTTGTTGGCCGGGGCAGGTGTTTTGAGGGGGACAGAGCGGGCCTAAGGCGAGTCATAACAGTCAACTGCGTCTACCTGACAGCAGAAAGTCAAACACGAGTCAAAACCGAATGAATCTGCTTCATTGTCAAGTATGTGCAGCTTTCCGGTATCGAACCTTGTGCAGCCTGTGGGCGATGATACCTATTTGAATCGCATGCTATGAACAGGAGGAAGATGCCGAGGCTTTCAAGCACTTCTCGTGTCAATTCAGTTGCGTCTCGACTCGGGTTTGCTCGTTGTCCACACCATGGGCCCTTTTGGGCCCCCGGTTGATAGGAGGGCTTGGGCGTGGGACGCCCTCAGGTTCAAGAGCTCTTGATGGACGCGGCATCGATGGGAATTTCGCGTTGCCAGGATCTGCGATTGCTGGTCCACGCCACCATGCAGGCGAGATCTCTGAGCTTTGAGCTCAAAGAGAGTCCGGAAGGCCACGAGTGAACATCAACCAATCCAACCACTAAAATAGTGGTGCGCCTGCCCCAAAATGGTACCATTGGTTTTGACCCACAGCCATTTGTGTTTTCTCAAGCTGACCCCTGCTGGATTGGTTTGGGGAGTTCAACTGGATGTGGAGGGATGGGAAAATCTCAAAGCTTAAGATGTAATTGTCAATGTGTCAAGAGGATCCTGAAGAAACGGGGGTTCCCGGTTTCCCTCTAAACCCAAAGGCGTGCCCGAAAAGGCAACCCCACTTGGGTAGCGAATTGGTGGTTTGGGTTGGCGTAGAGGGAACAAGCCGCGCAGTTGCCAGTTGTCACTGTCGACTTTGAAAGTTGTCCGCCTTCCGAAAGGCAACAGGCTGACGTTCGAGGTTGCTGCTGATGTGCGTTTCATCAGCCCAAGTGCCGTTTGGGTCCCAAACATGGCGTCCCACAAAAAGAACCTTGACATATATGTTTCCCATTTTGCGTGGTTCAATCTCTACCCTTGGGGAAAAGGTTGTTTCCTGTTCTTGGAATGTCTTAGCTATGCGCAGACAAAACTCCTGGAAGTCGGCGGTAAGTTTGGGTGTCCTTTTACCAGCTCATTTGAGGAATCTCCTTTGCGGCCATTCCCATTTGTTCCAGACGGCTTACCTCAAGAATCGGGGCATCCAACTTTTGCCCTTCACTTGCCCAAATCTAACCTTCTTACCTTTTGGTGTCCTTGTTGGTCCATTTTTAGTCGCGGCCCCCAAAGGTGCTCTCGCTTTTTGGGGAACACAGACTATCGCCGCGGCTACACGAACCCTGCAGGGCACGCGGGAAGCCTTGCCTGCTGCTCCGCCAGAAGAGGCTGGAACATGCGGTCGAGGCCGCGACCTTTCGAGGCGTATCCAAAGTTAGTCCTTACTCGCAAAGATGGAGATTTTGGGTTCCGAAAACCTCATTTCCTCAATGAACGCTTGAACATTTGGCTTGCACTCATATCAGATATGTTGAGTTGATGCATGCCTCACCTCTGCTTGTGCCAACTCGTCAGAGACCTGGCTGGAGTCATCAGGTGCTGGGGCTGTTGCAGCTTCGGCCACTGCGGCTCAGCGACGCCCATGTGGTGGACCTCCGAGACCAGGCGCCCGAATGAATTTGGGAGCCCATCAACAGAAAACAGAACCACATTTTTTGGAGAGTCCACCTATTTGTAGACATACCCACCTGTTTCTTCGTCCAACCTTTCACAGTTGACCCTTCTTAGCATTTGGTTTGGGTTCGCAATGACATTTTCTGAGCAAACCATATTAACCCTGGTAAATGGAACCCGCTAAAACCTGCGGTCCATTTCCCGCTTAAATTTTGACCCATCTCCATATTCCTCCCACCTCCGCGGCTCGGCTCGGCAGGTGGAGCTGAGGCTCAGCCGCCACTTCTACGACCTCGCGGCTCTGGCGCCGCAGGATGCGGAGGCGAAAGCGAGTCGAGTCGAGTCGAGGGCTGCTGGACTGCTGGGTTGCATCTTTAGACTTTAATGTCCACCTGGGATTAGTAAACGGGGGCCATTTCTTGCCTGCTATTGGGTTGGATCTTTAGACTTTCACTTTTTGTTTGAAATCAAGTTGGGTTTTCCGAACTAAACCCAAAGTGATTAACTTTTTGCGGAGGGGTCGTTGCAGCAACCAAGGCTGCGGGTGGCGGTGTTTTTGGCCGATTTGGGGGTTGGGTGTGAAGCCGAGAAGGTGGAGGTTTGGCTTTGGATGTTTTTTTTTTGGGTTTTGGATGAGGATGGTTATGCAAATCATGTGGACCTGGGTTTCTTGCCAAGCACATAGAACTGACTCCAAAAACGCTTCCAACCTTCGAGCTCGGATCGGATGGATCACAGACGACGAATATACAGGCCAAACAAGCCTTAGTGGATGGCACTTGCACGGAACTCGAGCGTGGGTTAGTTAGCGCAATATGGTCGTTGCTGTCAAAAGAGGAGAGGCGTTCAGAACTGATGGCGATGACTAAAGGATTTGGCAGCCTCGTATGGCCGAGCAGCTTTGATTAGATTGAGGTTTGATGCACCCGGCCGCGACCCACAAAAAGCCAGACTCTGGTCTGTTTGTGTTCTTCTTCTTTTTTTTGTTTGCATGCTCTGAAGGCAGAACAACCCGCCGAACAGTTTGTTTTCCTGTAGCCAACAATCAGATAAACTCTTCTGTCATTCGGATTGTCAGATTCCAAGGCTTTCCGCTCTCGAGTTGTTTTTATTGCTCGGCTCTCTATTCGGCTATTGATCCCATCATGTGCCACGAACTTGCGTTTTTGAAACAGCACCATTTGGGCGAAGACGTGGCGAGTTTCCTGGGCGCGAAGCAGCACCGCGGCAGGCATATGCGCGCATGCGAGAAGCGGCTGCGCAGCGCCGGGGATCCCAAGGTCAAGGTTCAGTCAGATCCCCTGGCCATTTCTTGCCTGCTATTGGGTTGGATCTTTAGACTTTCACTTTTTGGTTGAAATCAAGTTGGGTTTTCCGAACTAAACCCCCAACAAGTGATTCACTTTTTGCAGGGGGTCAACAGCAACCAAGATTTTAGGAGGGTTGCCTCCCTTTCCGGCAGCTTCAATGGAAACCGAAAGATGTGACCCTCTGCTTGCTACTTGTAGTGGTATTCCCAGTCTTCCCTTTTGTTTCCTCTTGTGGAGCCGAAAGTGGCAGCTACAATGGAAACCACGGTAAACTGTATTGAAGGGCAGATTCGGTGACCGCTGTCTATTACCACATTTATTGGTGACTCTATAGTATTCCAGGTATTCCGTGTTCCCTATTATCTTCGATCATCCACAACCGAGCGTTTCCCATTTTGAGAGATTTGTCAAATGGGGACGACATCCTTCCCGTTTGTTTTTGACCGTGAGCAAGACACCGATGCGAAGCTTGGTGGCTCCCAGCCATCCCCTTAGCTTTTTAGGTTATTAGGTAGGGGGCTCACATTTAACCCACGAAGAGTTCAACTTTTAGCAGGGGATCTGAGGACACTGAACCAAACAGCTAGAGTGAGAGGATGGAAAGGACCCAGAAGAACCAGAGCGACCAGAAGGCCACTGTTTTTGACTAGCCATCTTTGTTGAAATGGTCACAGCTTTTTGGGGACCCAGGGCGCGCACAAAAAGTATCTTGGAGGTGTCCCAACAAAGTACCTCAGATATGGACAACAACCCATGTGCATGTGCATGTGTCTGTGTGTGTGTGTGTGTGTGCTGCGCACGTCTACAGATCTACTGAAAAGGGCATACCAGTTGTCATACCAAGTTGAACCACTCGGAGTTTTTCGGTTTTTGGGTGATGTCCGCTTTGTTCCCAATTGGCAGCTGACCTAAAAAACACTTTTTTGGTGATGTCCGCTTTGTTCCCGATTACAGCTGTCCTAAGTTGCCTGGAAGCACTGGAGCCGGAGGCTATGGCCTGCACCTCTTGGATGGGGGGCTGCCAGCTGGCTCCCTGGCGCAAGGGCGGGGGCCTCAGGAGCTGCGCTGAGCCTCCGGCTTTGGGGCCGTCCAATCGTGAGACGCCGGAAAACGCGCGACACGTCGAGGTGAAGAAGTCGAAACACCAAGAGGAAGCGTTCTGCCACACCCACCACAAGATGAAGCTCGAACAGTCGACGAGTCGCAAAGAGTCGCAAAGACTTAAGAGTCGCAAAAGTCGAAAAGTCATGAGAGCTCGAAAGGTCCTGACATGTTGCAAAGTCGCTAGAACTCGAACAGTTGCGACAAGTTGCGGTTTGAGATCAAGAAAGGCCACTTTCTGTGAAGTTTGGGAGTCTGCTTCAACGTGATCAAGACGGTGAGCATGGGAAATCCCAGTTCGAAAGGGGTTGTGCATCGAGCTTTGATTGTGCCGCGCTTGGAACTCAAAGTGCAGCGCATGTCTGAGGGCCAGAGTCTAGTTTCTGTCGGATTGCAACTGTCCGCCTTGTTGCAAGCGCCATTTATTTGGGCAATCAGGGCGTGTTTTGGTTGGTGGTACCATGGTGGTACCCCCGTTTTGGAGCAGTTTTAATGGCAACACGAACAGGACCCACCCATTTCAAAGTCCGATTCCTACAACAAACACATTCGCCCTTGGATTCGGCATCGTGGATTCTCAGAACATGCGTTAGTGAAGGATCTGGGAAGTCTCCATGGAGTTGCATAAGCCGGGCCTACGGCTGCTTGTTGGTCGGATCTCAACGTTTTACGCTTTGGGAGACAATATGTAGCTTTTGCCAGTAATCAACAACACCTCGAACTCCAGAAACGATCACACGGTGAAAAGGTTGAATGCAGGCGTCTCAAAATCCAGGATCGCACCACCCCCGGAAAAGGTCTTTTGTTTAGTTGCTTTCCTTGCATGGCAGCCGTTGTTTGGTTTTATCCAAGACTATAAGCCTCCTTGAATGGGGGTTACGAGGTCAGAAACCTGTGTATAACCCAAGCCAGGTGGCCAAGTGGGGTCTCACCTGCGCATCAGCTGAACATCCCAGGCTGGACGTGATCGACGTGATGCGCAACGTGCACCTACTGGCCACGCAGTGCGCCAGATCTTGGGAAGAAAGCCCTTGGTTCATTTGAGTCTGTTTTTTGGGGGACTCCCAAATTGGTCGGGTTCCTCTTGGTTTCCCTTCAAACCCAACAACAAAGGGGGGTTTGTGATAAAAAGGGGAAAGGGAGGTCGTAGCCCCCTCCCCCAGTTTTGCGAGGTCGACCAGTGATATGAAGCATAAGCCGACACACAGGACATAGGGTCTCATTTGTTCAATCACCAGCAACCTTTTTGGACTGGGTTCCACAGGAAACCAAAAGCAACGGTCAACCCGTCTCTGCGTCATCTGGGAATTCTTCAAAATCCCGCCTTGTAGGGGTTTCGCTTGTTGTAGTGGTGTTCCACCACCGAATGCGAATTGATTTTGAACAGGCCTTCTTTGGACGATGTTTTTTGGGGTTGCAGGGAGCTCCGAGAACCAGGTACTGCTACTGCTTGCACCAGCAGTTTTTCACGCAGGCGGGCGTTGCTTCTTGTCAGCGACGGGGCGGGGAACATCTCGATCTCTTCGACTGCCGCAGAAAGCCCAGAGTTGGGCCAAGCCAAGACCTAAAACAAGTTCTGGACCTTTGGGACACGCGCATGGCTTTCCCTTGCCCAACAAAGCAAAACTTGCGGATCGGACGTGCTGCGTTGCGAGCTAAACAAAAAAAAAACGCCTCCGCCCACTCGGCCGACGCTGTGAGGCCTTTAACCAGGGCGAGGCCAAGGTCCGCACCATCACCGTGGAGCGGGGGGACTCGAAGTGAACCCCAAATGGGTGGTTTGTTTTCTTGGAGTAGGTGCCAGTTGTTGGGGCTTTAAAGGGAAGCCAAGCGGAAAACGGCCATTGTCTTTTTTTTCTGGGGGGTCCCTGACAAAAGGCACATCATTCTTATGTCATTGTAGTGTGTTTTGTTCTTCTTCTTTTTTTTTTGTGGGGTGGTTTCCCTTGAAACAACTCAGGAACCATATTCTGCATATATATATATATGCTATATGCGTTTGTGTGTGCGGGCGTGTGAAAATCAACGTTGGCTTGTAATGGTGTAGACCTATGCGGGCCAAGCTTTGTAGCACTCTTTCTTTTTCAGGGCTGCAGTCTTTACCTCATGTGCACAATCTCAAGGCCGGTGCGAGGAGAGATGCAAAAGTTTAAACCCCTCTTCAATTGAACTGGGATGCAGTACACTTGAATCTTAGCCACTATGTACAATCTGCTCTCTGGGCGAGATGATGCAAACCACTGCCAGAAACAGTCCTGTGTCCAGTTATACAACGGTTCATCTTGCTGTGAGCTTCATGTCCATGCACTAATGCAAACTGTCGAATTCATGAAGGTGAGGGCTGTCTCAAACCTGCGCAGGATAAATTCCAGTGTGCCCTGAAGGTCTGTATTTACAGGTTCTTACTTGCGATGAGCTCTTGTTGAGAAACCTCAACTTTCGTTGTTTGGGTCATGATGAGGTCCATGTCGATGCCAGATAGCTGAAGCTCGCTGTACCCTTGTTGTCCAGCAATTAGTGTTTGAAACATCACCACTCATTTGTAGCCCATGCTTAAGAATGTAGTATACCTGAGAATGAAGGGGTGCCAGAAGCTGTTGCAAAGCACGGTTCATGTCCCCTCATAGGGGGGCGTTCTCCTCCAAAAGTAGTGAACCCCACTAAAAGGGGACACCCCCCTTAGCGACCGGCAGAGGGCCAAGCCAGTGTCATCTGGGTGCCCTCGTCTCCAAGGCACCTTGCAGCCTCCATCCGCGTGCACGGCTACGGGGTCATCAACACCGCCCGGGGCCTCGACGCAAGAGCCATCAATTTGCGGGTGGTTTATCTCATTTGTCATAGGTATTCATCTATCCCAAATCCGTCTGTCACACAGGCAGATGCAATTTGGAAGCCCAGCTGCCCAGTGTCACCTGCTGTTTCCGTTGTTGGGAAGGGCTTCCCTTTAAGATCAACCACCAAGAAAAGGTGTCCTTCTCTCGCTTTGGAGCATGGATATGCCCGCAAGGTAGGATGAAGACTTGCCCAGTGGATCCCAGTTGGCACTAAGGTAGGTGCACAGCCGTTGTTCTTGGTGGGAGAAAGCCAGCCCTGTTGAACTTTAGACCACTTATAGTATCAACCCCCCCACTTGCTATTAAGCAGGGTTCCCTGTTTAGTGAGGATTCCTTTCTTGCACGGGGACCCCTTTTTAGCGGGTGGGGGTGGGGGGGGGGGGGGGTATTACGAGCTTGAGTTGACCTTGTTCATCCACATGTTGCCATCCAGTGCCATCACCCTTTTTTGGGGCAGGGTCTCCTACTAAAATAGACTCCAGAAAAAAAGGGTACCCCTTATTCTAACCAGTCTCTACTGGAGGACCTAGCCACAGATGGCTTCCCCAAAGGAAAGTCGTCGCCTCCCGCCCTCCGATGGTCAGCTTCTGTGAGTTTGGAGCGTGAGAGATGCTCTCCGAGGCCGTGAACTACAGCGTGGGGTTCCTCAAGAAGAAGCTGGAGGCGAGTATATCTATGGGTCCCACTCCCTCTCTCTCTCTCTCTCTCTCTCTCTTTCTCTCTCTCTTTCTCGCTCTCTCTCTCTCTCTCTCTCTCTCTGTCTCTCTTCGTCTCTCTTTGTCTCTCTTCGTCTCTCTTGGCTTCTCCTGAGTAGCACTAACAAAGGGGCTTTGGTAAATTCTTTAAGTTTGTCCTTTGATTTCTTAAAACGATCAATTTTGGTTGTGGCAACACATCAACCGCTGCTAGTGAATGGAAACCAAAAGAAGGCACCCATTTTGGTGGCTCCCATATTTAGAGACAAGTTCGTGAAATTGTTTCGCTCGTCAAACAAAGGACAACCAAGCTTCAAGCAAGACTTGACATATAATGTTCTACCCGTCCCTTGCATCAACTTGTACGACCACTCATGTTTAGCGAAAAGGCGGTCGATCAACTTCTACCGATGAATTCTCGCAACTGCACGTAATCCGAGGGATTATGTAGAATGCATTTGCTCAGATGCCGTTGGACGACTGGAGCCAGATGTGTCGTTGCAAGTGCTAGCAACGGAGTGCAACAAGGCCATACGGATTTTACATCAGTGTTTCCTGATTTGTTGTTTGTTTGATTAGGTTTTGGTCATCGCTTTTCTTTTCCCTCTTGTTTGATTTCTTACATTATTGTTTTCTGATATGGTTATGTTAATTATCGTGGTTACATTATGATTTACCTGGTACCTCAAAAAGGTGCCTTTGTCTGGGTGTTTCAAACAAACCGTTGTTTGTCAGTTCGGCTTTGTGGACTATGATTCTTGTTTTCAATCAGGTTTTGTCCCCTCGACCGGGTTTGCGCCATGCGCCTTGGTCGCTCCTGGCGCTTGAGAGGTGGTGGCCCAGTTCCTGGCGGATGAGTCGGTGAAGAGCCGCCTGCTCACGGAGAAGCAGTGGATGGAGGGGCGGCAAGGCTACAGCTGGGCCCGAGCCCCCGGTGGGCGAGCCCGAGGCTCGAGCGCGCACATCCAATGATGTCATGACTCTAGGGGACAACTTCCATTTCCATTCTTTCCAGGGATCCGAATCTTTTGAGACAACCGGCAGAATCCAAGGGGAAAGAGCTGGTTTTTGAAAACGAGGGTTGAAAAGAATGGGGAATCAACCCCTAGAATGACATGTGTTTTCTTCCAGTTGGGCATAGGGGGCCAAAAAAGCATGTGGCCGTGGTCATGGCCCTGGCAAGTGGGTTAAAGGGTCCGCGACAACTCTCTTCAAATGAGGAGTAGGGATGGTCATGGACCCCCGAAAAAACAGATGAACGTTGGAAAACTATTCAGCTTTCCTCCAGCGCATGTGTGAACTTAGGGGGCCAACGCGACTGGGCAATGATCATGGTTACTTCAATATGGATCCTGAATTACAACGGTTGTCTATATTTCATATCAAGGGGCGCATGACGATGCGCACCTAGCCGCGGGTCTTTTTTTGAGGGTAATTACCCATTTCCCCTTATAGGGAGCCTAAACGGAAACTCACCGTCTGCGGGGTCCCTCTGTTTTGACACATACCCAATGTGGTTTGGCAGGCCAGGGGTTTCCAATTTACCCTAGAATCAGGAGAAGCTGGCCGGCTTGTTGGCCGAAAACGTCCATGACATTAGGCTTGTCCTCTTGAACATCGTTGTGGACAAATGTATTTATCGGCCACATGGCGCGATACCAAGCGAATCCCCATCAACGTAACAAAGCAGTCATAGCCCACGTTGGCATCTCTGAAAAGAGCATGTTCCGCAACTATGCCGAGGCGGTAAGGGGAGGTTGTTGCAAAGTTTGGAAAAATGCGCTCTGTCAGCATTTCCAAACAGGCTCAGAAAAGACACAATTATACGGGGTGTCGTTTTTTGGTGTGATGTGAAACCAAAAAAAACACTGCCAGTTTGCCAGTTCCTGTTGTGTTGTTTTTGTGTGGTCTTGATCTTAAGGCATCAGCCGACTTCCCCTGGAAGCCCCAACTAGGAGTTTTTGTCAGCTGCTCATATTCCGGAGTCCGCACAACTTCGCAGAACCCCTCCCCTTGACCACCATGCTTTGTCATGCTCATCCCCGGTGGCTTCAAAGGGTCGCCCGTCGGAGAGCCACTTTGAGAGGCACCCCGCTCTAAAGGGGCATACCATTCAGCTGCCGAGGCGCGAGCCGTGGAGACCGCCAGGTTCATCCGGAGGCGGGCCCGAAGATTTCGCTATGTTTCAGGGCTCCAAAAAAAGTACATTTTGCCCATTTGAAACATGGTTTTTCCACCCAAATAAAGGGAAACCACCATTTACAAGGCAATGTTCAAGTGTATAATGTAAGGATACCTGTGTTTGATGGCGAATGTCCTCGGACATGTTTGGTGGCCAGACACACCTCCATGCAAATGATGCCTACCGAAGGGTCCGCAACTAAGAAACATACCGGCTGTTTCTTTCGGTCATTGTCGTGTGTTTTTCAACAACAACTCGAAAGCATGCCAACCATTTTGGGGATCCCCTAATTTTGAAGCAAGCCCAAATCAGCTTATTGAGGCTGTCGCATTTGGGTGAATCCTACAATGGCAAGGTTGTAAGATTGAAGGGACCGCGGGGCCTGATTCTTTCGAGGATGCATGGTTGTCCATTGCTTCAGATGTTTTTTTTGTTTTTGTTTCTCACTTCTCAAGTCGCACAGGCCAGTAGAAGCATAGCAAAAGGCACCCTTTCGGCGCGGTCCGCTTCTGCCTGGCCACCAGTGGGCTCTTCGGCTGAGCTAGAATTCAAATTGCTGGTCAAACGTTTTTGGATGAGGCCTAATGCTCCATGCAGACACGGTAGGTTGGTGTTTGCATTTGGTGCTCTGCTGACTCCCAAAATGCTTGTTTGTTTCCAGAGGATGCATTTTTTCAAGCTACCTTTCTTACATATTATTTAAGTTTTCCGCTTGCTGTTTTTTTTTGAATATGTGCTTTGCAGGGCTAATCATGAAGGTCCCCCAATTTAATCAGAACGTTTCAGAAAACCCCTTCTCAGGGTTCTAAGAACTTCTGGTTGCCGGGGGGGGTGGCTTTGGGATTTGACATTCAACCAGAAGAGGGCGCAGGGTGTTTTTGGACTTAGATGCAAGCAAAATTAGTTTATGTTAGTTTCCCCGTGGCTTCACAGGGAAACCCATAGAAAGCACTCATGTTGGATCAGGTTCGCAAAAATGAATGGAGAGAGTGCCATATTTGGTGCCGCTTCTTGGATATGATTCTTTACGCACTCATGCTGGCGATCCTACCTGGGAACAAGACCAGCTCGCCAATGAGAATGGGCCTTTGCCTGTCCAGTAACACGGACAGGACGGGTACCCTCCCACCAGCTAAGATGGAAGTGTAGAGACCCCTGTAGAAAGACTACTTTCCTCTTGGAAAGAGCCTTTTTGCACTTCCATGTTAGTTGGTGGGAGGGTAACCGGATATCCCCCACCCAATTTGTTTGGTGCTCGCGGGAGGCTGGGTGCTGGACGGGACGGCGCCAGGCACCCAGAAAGTCCAAACCACGTAAAAGGGAAGCCAACCACTTGGATGGTTCCCTATTTTGAATACACACCGACTCAGAACACCTGAGTCACAATCAAAACCTGGGTAGATGAGGGTTAGTAAAGGGGATCGCCTTGCCAGAAATAGCTGCAATGGGCCGCCTTCTTAATTCTTTACATGGTATTCTGGGTAGACCATTTTACTACCGGGTTTTGATTGTGACTCATTTCACACCGTTCAGAACGGAATGATTCGAGTCCTCCGCAAAAATTCACTCAAAGACACTGGTTTCAACCATGGTCGTTCAGAAACCCAGAAACCCTGTTTCATTCGATTCCCCAACAGAAGTACCAGAAGAAACTCTGGCTTCATCCATGGTTTCAAGGTGGTGCGATCGGATTTCATGCATCCGCAGCATCTTGCAGTATTTTAGTTGTGTTTAGATTTAGGCCACATCTGTTGTTGGGTAAACTGTTTTTGGGAAAACTTGTTTTGGGTAAACTGTTTTTGGGTAAATCGTTTGTTTCTCCAGTGTTTGGTTCCGAGGGAGACTAAATATGAAACAGAAGCAGAACATCCCCGGTGTGGGCCAAGTTTCGGAGGGGAAGGAAGCGGATGCATTCCAGGGTGGGAGGGGTGTGCGTTTTAGGAGCAGCCAAATCAGAGTGTTTGAATTAGTTAACGTTCTGCCTTTTTTTGGACAGGCAATACCGGGTGATACTGAATGGGTCCAGATTGGGCAGATTGAAATGCAGACAATGATTGAGCATTGGACAACTCCATGTAGTTTTAGGGGGTGATTCCCCATTCTGTTCAATCATCGTTCTTTCAATAACCTGCTGCTTCCCCTGGGTTTTTGATGGTTTCCGGAAGAGAAGGATCCCTGGAAAGAATGGGCCCCTGGAATAGTTTTGTTAATGCTTGAATCGTTAAAATTTGTGGTGTCCCTTTGGTTTCTCTTGCAAAACGAGACGAAGGCTCCCTTCGAAACGGCACAGGCCTTCCTTTCTCAACTCGACCCCATGTTTCCTTGGGAAGGCCGATTGACCAGTATCATAAAAAGGAATGCCCGAAAGGATCGGTGGGCTCAAGAGGAGAACCTTGAAAGGACGCGCGTGTTGTAGGGGGCAAACCTGGATAGGACTCCTCCGCCAAACTTGGGCTGCGAGCCCTTGGTCCCAGGTCACCATGTTGTCAGACCCCACCCGTTCTGCCTAGTCAAGCAAGCAGAGGCTTCGTGGATGCCCGAGCTTCAGGTTCTTTGTGGGACCTGACATTGAAGCCTAGATGTTGGCACCACAATCCAGAACAAAAATTAAGGACAGACACTTGTGGGGGGCCTATGTTTCCTATGTTGGGTGGTTTGAAGCATGAACTGTTACGCCCGTTTGACGAGTTTGCGCTTGAATTGGAACAGCTTCTTGGGATTGCCTTTTAAAGGGACCCTGTTCTTTAAGGGCATCACGGTTTCCTTTTGAGCAGAGGTGGATTGTTAGAGACCCCATATTGCGGGTAAAACGATGGCCTGAATAATATAGGATTCCAGACTTGCAGAAATCGATCCATGGCGTTCTATTTTGTTCGATGAGATATGCCAAACTGACAAACTGCCAAACGAGCAGCAGGCCAAACATGCGTAAGGGCCAGGATGTCCCGCTTCGCCTCAGCGAATGCTCGACTTTGCTGCTGGCCAACAGGTATGACGGCGTCCTTTTCTTGTTTTGTCTTTTGTTGATTTAGCATGGCAAGTTACCAAGTTACCCCAATTGGTAGTTTGGATCGGTGATTTGGGTTTGATTCCTTGGTTCTTGTAGATTGCAGGGTAACTGGGAAACCACCCCCTTACCTCCAAACCACCAAACCCAACCGCCTAATCAGAGGGAAGCTGAGCGCGGGAGCAATCATATTTTCCGCATGAAGTGGAAGTCTGTACTGTATTACATCAGCGCAATTAAAGCTGCTCCGCCGCTTCTGCAGTGTCCCTCATTTGCAGGATGTCAAAGGCTTGAAAAAACGTAGGTGGACGGCTGTCGAGCTTTTAGTGCTGATCCTCGCCTGCCGAGTTTGCCTAATCTCCTTATCCTGAGTGCTGCTGGCTGGTTCTTGTCGCGTTCCAACAACCGACCCCAACAAACCCCAAACCCCCAACCCCCCACCCCCCATCAAACCGTGCCAACTGCCAAGAAAGATGCCAATTATTCCTCCGCTGGGAAATCCCCTGCGCTTAGGTCTCCTACCTGGACAAGCTCCGGCAAGTGCTGACGCAGATTGGCAATAGCCTGGGCTATGTGCGAATGATCAGGACGCCGCCTTTGAGGTTGCGGTGGGAAGGGCGTGGGCCTAAGGACCTTTCCAAGGGATTCCCTTGGTGGGTGAAAGGGAAGCACTGTAGGGACATGGTTATCCCGGAGCAACATTATGTCGGCACTGGTGGTGCCATGTCATTTCCTTGTTGCAGTCGCTTACTTGACAGCTGTCACTCGGCCGGGAACACTTGCCTTTGTGATTGACTCCAGCTGCAGCAACAAAACACACTCCTCAAACTGAAGGGGGCTTCTAGAACGCCCCCTTCGGAAGTCTTTTGCTGCAGTCTTCTCATTCAGATTTCCCAGCGCCTACTGCTTTTTGGACGATAGACACGGGCCAAAAGCAGCCTCAGCGGGCCTGGTCCAAACGTGGCTCTCAGTTGGGCCGAAGATCATGGAACCTGACGGTCGGAGGGCCTTGGAAGTCGCTCCACTTCCATTGGACGAAAGACTCTTGATGCACGTAGGACTCCCTTAGTCTTCCAAGACATTTGCCGGGTAATTCAAAGGGGGTGAAGAAGTACTCTCGTCGTTTTCCCAATTCCATTGAGCTGTATAGTAGGTAGCCAAGCACCCTTCACCAACCCGGTGAAAATAGGTGGCTGCCTACTATAGGGGTAACTGGGATCCTCTGGGTTTCCCATTACTCCATAAAGGGTTTCATCCCAACTCGCGTTATCTGGCTGCGGGTCAAAAATATGGTAACCCCAAAGCGGAATCCTGGTATATCGAAGCATGGGCCAGCACCTGCGGTCCAATTTTCTGGTGGTTTCGTTTTGACCCCCACCCATTTCGCGGCACCTGCCCTTCAAGCCTTCGCCGTCTTCAGCTGACTCAGGACCGCGGGCATGCGAAGCATGGCCAACGGCCTGGAGTACTTGGAGGCCATGGAGCTGGAGGGGACCGCCTTTGGTGGAGACCAAAAGGAAGCGCACCATGGTTCTAGGGGTACCTTATTCATATCATTCTTTCCAGGGATCCGAATCTTTTCAGGAAGCCAACAAAAAAACAGGGAAACAGCCGGTGTTTGAAAAGAACGATGGGTGACAGAAATGGGGAATCAACCCCTAGAACCGTGTTTGGTGGAAAGCAAAAGGAATCCACCTGGAGGAATGGGTCCCTGCTTTTGGGAAGCCGAAATAAGAATTGGGACTTGGAATGGTCCAGCACCCCAACTCTCCCCCTCCACGAAATATAATGCGGCATACCGAAATACCGTATCACATTCCCTCGTATCCATGAACAGGAATCGGAAATCAGTATCACTTAGGTGCAACCGCTTAATGTAAGAACGGTTTCGCTGGACTCTTCTTCAGCGCGCGCGATCAATAGGATGGACATGTTTAATCATGAGCTTATGTTCAACACGCGTATTTGCAACGCCGCTAACTTTGTCAAAGCTGGGGGGGCCCTTTGATATACCTGGACCTTCCGGGGGTTAAACAATTAAGGCGTTGGCCGAAAACGTGTTTTTCTGGTTGTTGTCATGAAAAACCTGTTTGTTGTGAAAATCACCGACGGTAATATTTGTTTGCGCCGCGGTCGGAGTTGTTGCCTGCTGGTTGGGAATTTGGCTTTTGGTTGGACGGGAAGTTTCGCTGGTAGATTCAGGGAGATTGCGCTTAACAACCAACTTGAACAAAAACGGCCGCGGGCAAAAATTATGCGCTGTTGCCCCGAAAGGCATTTCGTTTCGAAAAGGCAGACATTTTGCGCATGCAGGAAGGTCCAGGCATCGTCAGTCACATTTTAGACGTCGACCAAGGCCTGTCCGCATGGGACTTTGAGCGCCATTTACAATGTCAGATGCAGTTTAGACATTGTTGGGGATATGCCTGGCCCGGAATTAAAGCGCATTTTTTCAGCCGAGATCCTGCTGTGGAGCAGCGCAATTTCAAATGTCTGTCGTTTTTGGTTGCATGTTGCTTGTGATTGCCAGCCGGAATTTGAGCGCCATTTTTGATTTTAGGCGGCATGACCCGAATTTTAAGCGTCACGTGTAGTCGTCACCGGACTCTCCAATTTCGATCTCCTGATGGCCGCAACCCTCTTATTCCTGGCGACGCGGTATGATTTCAGGCAGGAATGGCAGCGTTGCTTGTGGCTTTGATTGACCGCTTGCCTGTCGCGAAGCTCGCTCGTAGCTTTGGTGAAATTGAGCGGGCTACTTGCAGCTGCCTTGACTTCAGCTGAGTCTCTCACGCGTATGCACCACCTTCAGCCCACTAGCAGAACATGCAGCAGTTGCTCACGTCGTGGAATGTTCCCGGTGACGCCGCGCCCCGTGTGGCTGGGCCGTCGCGGATCTCCGCAAACCTGGCCTGAGGTGGAAGCCTTTGTGGGCGGCTGGCAAGGTTTCGTGGGGATCCAGGAGCAGAACTGGGAGGGCGGCGGGTGGGCCAGAGCCTACTTTCGGTCCGCGTGAGATGCCTGGCGTGCTTTCTTTTGAGCTCACAACTTGTAAGGCGTGGCGTCAGCTTAACTCCTGTAAATGGCTTTGCCCTGCCTATTGGAGAGAAGTGGATGGCAGCCTGCTAGTGTTGATTTGACAGACTCAACGACGGCTGTCTCAGGAAAATTTGAGCGGCTAGAGAGTTTTGACAGCGTGGAGAGTTGTAATCTTGAGCGGCTGGGGAGTTTTGACAACGTTCATTGACAGCTCTTTGAGAGATTTCATTCTGTTTTCAACCGCTTTCGCATCTGGGCATTGCTTTGTTTACGCAGTTGCCCGTGGCTTTAGTCGCATTGGTCAGGGTGTCAAAGGGGTTCTTGCGCGGTCCTTGTTCCAATGACACTTGCGCTTCACAGGAGGGAGTTGTTTCGTGCGAAACGGACTGCATCAGATTGTGCTGGACGCTGTCTTTGTGCTGATGCGTGGCACCTCCTGGATGTGCGCAGCGCGACGCCGCGTGCCTCTGAGTCTAGCGCTGTTGTCGCGGAAAGTGCGGGTGAATTGTTTTTTTGGCTTCTTTGCGTTGCCGACGCACGCGGCGCAAGCGAGAGAGCGAGAGGGCGGAGCGCTTGGGATGAGGGAGGGTTCTACTATATATAGCTCGGTCAACCCTGTAGCCTTGCCAAGGCCACAATCATGGCAGCGCTTGGTCACGCTGTGCCTGTGCTTGTCCTGATCCGGTCTGGCGGCCAAATTAGCTTGACGAGGTGCTACTTGGGCTGGCGGGCTTGTCACTCTTGCGCACGGCCTCAATCCCCTAAGGCAGCAGACGTTTGGAACACTTTCCTGGGCTTCGGGATCAAAAAGGTGAGGCCGCGGCATTCTCGGTATCGGCTGAACGTTTCGCGGATCAGGTCAGGGTTCTGAAGCGGAACTTAACGGGTTCCTGATTCCACATGGACGCTCATTGACGCTTGACACCCATGCCCATTGTTTGGAAGGCGACGTTTTGGTTTGGCGAAAAAGCGGTTGCTTGGTTCCCTTACTGCTGTCTGGCCCATCACCAGTGGTGCTTCAAAAGATCCAACCGCAGTGTGAACAGACGATGTCCTGGGCATGGCTTGCCTCAGCCCTGTGTGATGGTGAAAAGCGTGCTGTGGCTCGCTTCGCGTTCGCACTATGGCAAGCTTAGCCGCGCAAGTACTTCAACCAGGCGATGACCTCGTAACCCGCAGGTCCGGCGCTAGAGCACACCTCCCAGGGGTGAAAATTTCAGGGGTGTGTTGAAAAACATGTTTCTTTTGTCGTTGGCGTGAAAAAAAGCTTGGTTTTGTGAAAAGAACACGGGCGGTCAAATTTGTTTGTGCCGCGGTCAGACTTGTTGCCTGTTGATCAGGACGTTCTGCCGGTTGGTCGGGAAATTTCGCCTGTAGGTTCGGGGAGATTGCGATTGACAGCCAACTTGAACAAAAACACGGCCGCAGGCAACGCTAACGCGCTGTTTCCCGAAATGGCTTTTCGTAGCGAAAGGGCGGACATTTTGAGCATGCAAAAAGGTTCAGGTGAGCTGCGTCCAAGCCTGCGTGTACATGTTTAGTGTGAATCGTGTCATATCGACCTGCGCGTAATCCAAATCTCCACACGCGTAAGGTTGCGTAAGCTGGCGGCGTAAGCAAACCTCCACATGTGGTCGCTTAAGGAACAGCTCCACGCGCGGAAGGTGGCGTAAGCTAGTGGCGTAATCAAAATGATACGACATAGCAAATCATGACACGTTTAGGATATGGCTCACGTATGTTCTCCATCCTCCCGTGTTGCATTGGGGCTTCGGATGTTTTTGGATGTCCCACTGGGTGTGCTGCTTGTTCTCTTCTGCTTTCCCCTTTGCAACCCCGTACGATTCAATCATGAGCAAAGCTGGCTTTCAAGTCCCAGAACGCCAGTCTAGGATTAGTTGTCTCCTCCTTCAAAATACCCCACAACCCGAATCCAATCCTGTCTGCCTTGTCGCAAGGCAGCTCCCTGGCTGGGGGATGGAGGCAGGGCCACGGGCCGACGTTACCTTTGCAACCCCTTTGGGCGTATTTAGGGTACCCCTTTGTCGGGGGCTTTAAGGGGAAACCAGAAGCAAAACGCACATGTTTGGGGGTCAAAAAAGAAGACAAACAAATGCTTTTTTTGAGAAGGGGCTCGTTTCGCCAGGCATGTCGAATCGCAGCGACCTGGCGCAGGCTCGCGGGACGCTGAAGTGAGGGGGACGGTTTCTCTCAGGGTTGTGCTAATGCTTTCCTGCGCGTAGGCGTTTTTGGGGTCAGTTCTGGCCCGCCTTTTTGTTTCTCTTGTTCGTCTAGGGCCCTGTGCCTGGAGGTCTAAGCGAAGCGAAAGGGAAACAAGCCATGTTGAGTGGGTTTGTTCATCTCTGTTTTTTGCTGCGCCTTCGTGAATGTATTGTGACCAACAGCTGATTTACAAATGAGGCTGGGGCATTCTTGCTTTGCTGGTTTTGGGGCAAGGACATTCTGAGGATGGGACACATTCAGAGAAGACCCACTCGGAATGGCTTATGGTCGTGCCGTGCTCCTCAACCTGGGTCAAGCGGCGTGTGTTATGTTGAGAACGGGCTGGCAAAATATAACAAAGTTGCTGGATTCATTGGATGCTGAGACTTGTTGATATTACATCCGCGTTCTTGATAGATTTTCTCATTTCTCGGCTGCGCAGACGCACACTTTGGGAGGGCCAAGGCCGGGGAGCCACGAAGCCGCCGTTCATTCGTCAAACAAATCAATCGGTCAAAATAAGCTGCAGTCGGAACGGTTTAAAGTGAGCTTCCTTCAAAGTCGGGTGATGGGGGCAGAAATCCAGGAAATCCTGTTTTCCCATGCATCTGTGTCCAAAGAGGGGCATGGTGGTTTCCTTTCGGTTTCCCTTCAATCCACTCAATGGGGTACCCTTCCTCCAACTAACATGGCACCTGTGGGAGGGTACCTGGAAGATCAGCTTACTCTCCAAACAGCCCTCTGTCACAAGCCATGTTAGTGGAAGGGAGGGTACCCTCAGAGGAAAACACTCTTAGCCCCCTTGGCATCTCTTAACAGGCCGCCGAAGCGGCCGGCTGCGACCCCCCGGTGCAGGAGGCGACTTCGCTAGCTGGCGATGCCGTTAGCTTGTTGAGCCCGGATTTTCATAGACCCAACATAATTGTAAACGCTTCGCGCTGCCCGCCTCGGCCCAGCCTAGTTTGAGGGAAGGGTCAGGAACACCGAAATCCAGTGTTGGGAAGGTCCGAATCCTACTGAAAGCTTGTGACCGCACCAGTTCGCTGCGCTGCTTGGGCAGCTGGAGTGAAGGGCTGGGGCACGTTGGGCCAATTGATGCCATGCGCCGGACCAGGCTGCTGGTGCCTGCGCCTGGGGCCTGAGCAGGGCGGGCTGTGGCTTGCTCGCGCGGGTTGCTGGTTGGGCTGGGCCTGAAGCTGGCTCCAGACAAGTCAGACAAGCCGGCCTCGCCTGGTTGGGCTGGGCCACAGGCTACAGATAAGCCTGCGCTGGGCCTGAAGCTAGTCTCGGCAGCTTGGCTGGACCTTGCTTGCGTGGGTTGTTGGTTGAGCTGGGCCTGAAGCTAGTTTACGGCGGGCTGGGCAGCGGCACTGAGGGGGCTGGGCCATGGCTGAGGCCAGTTTCAGACACGTCAGACAGGCCTGGCCAGCAGCCGGACTGGGCTGGGCTAGATGCTAGTTGAGCCCAGGCTGGTCTCGGGCTGAGGCCTCAAGCATGGGTGGGTTGCTGGCTGCTGGGCAGCCGGACTACGCTGTTGGTGGAACTTCGGCTGTGCGGGCTGGGCTGAGCTGTGCTTGGGCGGGTCGCTGGATGGGCAAGGCCTGTCTCATACACACTTGGGCCTGAGGCTGGGGCTGTGCTTGGGCGGGCTGCTGGATGGGCAAGGCCTGTTTCATACACACTTGGGCCTGAGGCTGGGTGGCGAGTTGCTGGCTGGGCTGGGCCTGAGGCCAGTCGCAGACACGTAAGACACGCCAGCAGGCGGGCTGAGGGACTGGGCCTGAGGCTAGTCTCAGGCTGGCATACTTTGAGACCAGTCTCAGACTGCGCCGAAGGGGCTGGGTTGAGCTGCTTGGGCAGCGGCTGGGGCACGTCAGACAGGCTTAGTAGCTGGCATAGCTTGAGACCAGTCTCAGACACGTGAGACTGGTCGTTGACCTGAGGCCAGTCTCAGACATGTTAGACCTTGCCCTGAGATGCGCCGGGGCCTGGGCTGGGCAGGCTGGGCTGGGCCTTGGGCGGGTTGCTAGGCCTTTCAGACAAGCTGACAGGCCTGGCCAGCAGGCGGGTTGCTGGTTGGGCTGGGCCTGAGCCTAGTCTCAGACACGTCAGACGGGCCTGGCCAGCAGGAGGTCATGCTTTTCAGGGCAAAAAAGCAACTTTTTAGCAATTGTCAGCACATTTTTCGAGCTGGACGCCGACGAACCCCGAAAATTTCAAGGCCGCCGGACAGGATTTTGGGCCAGCCGGCATGGGTGGGGGGGGTGGGGGGGGGGGGCGGCCCGGCAAAATTTTGTTTGGGGAGGGGGTTGGGGGAGGGGAAAAGCGAAGATTCTCTTTGGAGAAGAGATCTGAGCGCCCTTGGCCCCTTTGGGGCCGAGGCGAATTTACATTGGAGGTTTTAGTGTGGTTTTGTTGATTTTTCAGAAGCCGAGTTTTGGTGGGGTGTCAGTTCACCAGTTTCTCCAGTGAACATGTCCAGTGAACCAGGGGCCTATGAATATAGGCGTGTCCCTGGTTTATGGGGAGTCATCACTTTTGGAGGGGAACACTCGCCTATGAGTAAGCAGGGGTTTATAATTCCGGGGTCAACATGAGCGAACCACCTCAACCAAAGGGGGAATGGAAGGTTGGTTCTTTAGGCCCTGAACGGAACTCCCCTGCAAACTCACTTGGAGCCCCCTAAAAGGGGTTCCCCCAAGGAAGCCCCGCCGCTTTTGAGTGCTTTTGAGGTTCCATGTGACTGAATCTTGACCAGAATCAACAGACTGTTTCTGAAAATGGTGGCCCCCTTTTGGTGGGTATTTAAAGGGAAGTCCAAAGGAAAACAGCAATTTTAGAAAAATGAGAAGCCCCAAAGATGTGTGTTGTGTTTTTTGGGGGGTGGGCAAAGCCTGAGGTAGACTGCGACGCGAATCGACTTAATCCAAGTGGAAACACAGGTTTGCAGGTAACCCCAAAATGGGGGGGGGTGTTTCTGGTAGATTTGGAACCAAGAACTAAAACCTGCGTCCCTGGGTGGTCTAATTTTGACCCAACCCTCAATGAGCTTTCCTCTAGTTGGTGGTTTGGAGCCGGGTGGTTTGATGGTTAAGGAGGGGTCTCCCCATCTCCACAAACGCCGGGGGTTCAGGTCGAAACCACCAATCCAAACCCCAAACTCAGGGTTATCTGACTTAACCCTGTTGCTGTTGCAGCTCTTGTCGCGTTTGTGACACTGCCTCTTATCACGCGAAACTGAGCTGTGATTGTTGCGAGTCCATGGGGATGAGTGCTCAACACACTGAAGACCTCATGTCAGGCTTCCATGATCTGCGATTCCAAGAGGGGAAGGAGTGAAGAGACGACGGTGGGACGTGATGTTTGGATCTTGTGATTACATGCGGGCCAACAGAACTGGGACGGCGTGAGGTGACTTTAACAGGTCCCTGTACCAACTCGAAGCAGACACACCCATTTGGGAGGGATGAGAAGGGGGAACTCATTAAATTCATCTAAATTCTAAGCAGAAAACCGGAGTCAACGTTCATACCTTCGACCGTGACTATTATAGAAACCTTTATTGAACACACATTGTGCGTGTCTTAGTTGGTGAAGAAGACACAGAGCACTGTTGTTGTTGTTGTCCCACCACCCCCACAAGCAAACCACATGAGCTCCATTTGTCATAACTCCATGCCAATCATTTGGACGTCTTTTTTCCTAAAGGGTGGTTTTCCTTCTGGCTTCCCGTTGAAACCGCAAAAAACAAGAGGATATCCTCGAAAACAGACGCCCATGTGATCTTTGTGGCTCCCAGCCATCGGATTAGCCTTTTAGCTTCTTATTGTTGAGTGGCAGTTTCCATTTCACCCACTAAAAGTTAGTCACTTTTAGCGGGGGATCAGAAAACGGGCAACCCAGTGATGTGTTTGTGTCTAGTGGTACCATTTTAGGGCAGGTGCGCCACCATCGCCACCCATTTTACTCTATTGTAGTTGGGATTGGGATTTTGACCCATGCCCATGTGGTTGTGTCTCGCGTTATTTCTGACCAACGGACAGTCGCATGTCAGGCCGCGCGCCTCGCGGAGGCTGCGGCCCGCAGTGTGCGCCGCTGCTTCGAGGCCAGGGCAAGCCAGACCGTTGTTTGGACTTTGTGAGAAGACCATTTGTTAGTCGTAAATACAAAGTTCGGACCAGTGTTTTTCTTACCAATCCCCTCAGGAACTCAGTTTGTGGGTGGCCAACCTGTTGGAGCCAAACCAAAAGGCAAAATGGAGGCCAACAAGGACAGGCTTGGGGTTGGACAAACAGGCTCTGCCGATTTGTCGGAAAGATGGAACCTGAATGGTTTCCTTTTCGCGGATACCTAGGCTCATTTCCAAAACACTTGGTGATTCCCTACTGAGAGCTAGCAAGCCAAGCAGCCGCTTTGTTTGGGATCTTCATGTTCAGGGTTTCGATTCAGCAGATGGCTCACATAGGCATATCCATGGCTCGGAAGGAACTTTCTTGAAATTCGCACCATTTCAAATGATATTCACCAAAGGGCCCCCCATTAACGTTCACAAACTTTTCTTGCCTGAGCTTTGACTCCAACTCACACATCACTGCTTGGGCGCCGGGTGAAAGTGATGCTTTTGCGAGAGCCTGAGGGGCAGGTGGCCTCAACTCTCAAGTCACCCGATCCCGACCTGGCCTTCACGCCATGGGTCGACTGAAAACCCGGGAAGGTGACTTTCATACTGTAGATGGACAAAATCCTGCACCACTTTGAAACTATGGGAAACCATTGTTTGTGGGTATTTGCAGCGGAATCGCAGGATCTCGTCCATCCACAGTAGGGCATTGATGTAGTTTCGGTCCGCCCAGGTTGCGCAGTTTGATGCAAAGAAGCAATGAAATCCACTCAGCAAGTGATTGAAAGAGCCGGGCGTCACGGGAAGCCGTGCGTGAATTGCCCTCGGATCCCTCCAATGGAAGCTGACTGCTTCGGGTTTCGGAAGGAGAAGATTCCAGCCCACTTCCATGGTTCACGATTAGAACGTTCGCTAATATTGCGTCCATTTTGAGGGTTGGTTTAAAGGGAGACAAAAAGGACACCGACAATTTTGTTGGTTCCCCTATTTTGACACAGCCCTAATGCCTGGGTTAGTTTTGATTGAGCGCGCATATCGCTCCTCTCATCAACACACGTGTGTCTTGAAATAGGGGTATCCCTGAGATGAAGTGCTTGTCCTTTAGTTTTCTTTTCAAAAGCGTGCACACACATGCACACCCATTTGCTTATACCACTTCAGCGTTGCAAGTGATTAGGGCACGTGGACCTCCCTCAGCTTGGCCCGAAATGAGCGGTGAGAAGTCAGTCCCGAGAACCGATTCAATCCCAAAGATACCTTCTGCCAACAAAAATTAAAATGGCCCGAGCCGCGTGGCTTCCAAGTCATGCCGATCATGCGCAAAAGCAGCTGTTGAGACCCGGGTGCTGGTATTGGGTCCTTAGGTTTTGCCTTTGGCCCTTTCTACCCATCGCTCAGGGCGGAGCCATTTGAGATCGCAACATGGTCGACTGGAAAGACCGGACCGGAAATCTGCTTGGAACGCACTCTGCAGGTGTCCGGCTTCCGGGGTTGCTGCTACCTGAGCCTGTAATTATTTTTGCAAGGGGTTGAAGATCAAGTCATTTGGGCAACAAGTCGCTTGGTGACTTCGCAAGGCCAGCACCGATCACCTCAACCTCCTGGCGGAAGTCTTCGCCAAAGCCCTGTCCAGGCGCGATTTTTTCGTGTCGAATGTCTTTTGGCAGCTCCCAAGGCAGCAAACTGCAGAACCCTAGGGACAATTTGTAAAATTAACCCTCGCGTCCACGAACATGGAACCTGACTGAGGAGTCCTGGTTTTGAGCTTTTGCCTTTCAAAGGGATTCCATGTTAGCGGACAGGAGGGTACTCTTGTTTGGTTGCTTTCCTTTCTAGGTACTCTTTTTTGAGCAACTCTGAAGGTGGTGCGTGTTGTGCATGGCAATTGCAGCCACAGATTTGGCTGTATGCAAGGGAAGCTCTATGTTGGGGTGTGCTCCAAAAAGAAACCACAAGGAGACACAGTCGTGTTTGGGGTCCCTAATTTGGAGACACCCATTTTGACAGGAGTGGGCTGCCTTTTGGTTGATCGGCGCAACTGATTTGCAATCATTGTGATCGTAAGCAAGGATGTACAGTGCTTGGCGACCCGAGCTTGGAACAGTGTCCAACATCCCAACAGTGGAATGCGACAGAGGAGGGACTTGGGTGTGGGTGGTTCCTGAAGTTTGATCCTTGCTTTCCTTGAAGAACTTGCCTCTGGAGTTTCCGCAAGAACATGTGCCTATGGCTTAATTTGGTGTCTGGCATGAATGTGGTTAAATACACACGTCAATCCACCAAAGGGGGAAGAACAGAAGCAAGAGTTGGAACGAAAATCCAACAGTGGACATGAATTTCCCCGAAGTCTGACCAAGGGTCTCCAACCAGCACCCCCCAACCGTTGCTTTCTGGATACCAAGAAGATGTTGACTTGGGACCCAGGTGCTGGAGTTCAACAATGCGTACCCATGTTTGCCGGTCGTCAGGTCGTCGGTCGCGAAGTGATTCCTCCCCAACCGAAATCGACCTTCGTGGTGCGCAACGAAGAGCCTGTCGCGCCGAGAGTCGCGCGAAACGAGGCCCGAGGCAATGCCCACCACGCGCTTGTTTCATTTGCTGGTGCCCGGCCGCCGAGTCGGCATCCGTGGGTCCACCCTCCCCTTTGATTCAGAGCTGTACATAACTGCATGTCCCTGTTTTTAGAATAGAATTGGGATATACATATACATATATATATACATACATACACATATATGTATTTATTTATTGATTGATTTATTTATTTTATTGATTGATTTATTTATTTAGTTAGTTATTTATTTAGTTGTTTTTTTTTATTATTTATAAATATATATATATATATATATGTGCATGCACACACTGGTATCAATCTATACGCAGTGACATTTATAAGATGATCAACGGTTCCAACCCTTACCCAGGATGTTCTGAGGTTCTGAGGTGTTCACAGAGTATTTGTGTGCGGGTGTCAGTATGGGAACCCAAAGCACTATGTTGGTTTTCCTGTTGGTTTCCCTCTACAACCGCCTCCAAACGGGGATCCTCAAAAAAGAGAAGGGCGAATTTCCTGGGGGGCATAGAGCAGGGGTAACTCTCCGCCAACGGGTGTAAATTACTCCCAGGTTGTGGCAAAGCCCCAACTCGTGGTTCAAGCCTTTTGCCCTTCAGGTTTTGGTGGTTTTCTTCTTCCATCAGACTTTGTGTATATAAGTTTTACCTTCTGGCTTCCCCGAGTTTTTTGCTATCAACTTGAAGAGCACTTCGGCAACTTGTACGGCCAGCGACCTGTGAATTTGCCCAAGAAAGCTGAGATGCTGTTGCTCTCGATGGTTTGTGGTACCAACACCGTGCAGCATGCTACGAGATGGCAAAATCATCAACCATCCGGTCGTTTTTTGCTTTCTCGGAGGTTTCCTCCGAGTTTCCCCCTTTGGTTTCTCGTTTTTGGCGCCTATTTCCAGGTTCCATGTTCCCGTCGCGTGGTTTTTGTGGCTGGCCTGGTGAAAACCGGAGCTGGTGACGAGGGATTTTTTTCAGACTCCGAGGCCTTCGGTGGGCTGCGCCTTCTTAGACTCCCTGCTCTTGGGGCCTGGGCCTGAGGGGGCCGGCAGCGCAGAGAACGGCCCGAACGAAGGATCCGAACCTGGGGGGGAGTTACTCCTTGGTTAAAGGCCCGCGACATCGGAACCCAGTTGTTCTCAAAGCGGCTCACAGTTTCTACCAGGATCATTGAACCACACTGGGTTCCCTCTTTTTCTCCAGGTGTGGCAGTGAGAGTCGGGGCCCCGTTTGGGATGTTGGAGGCCTCCTCCTGGCCCGTGTGAGCGACTGAATCTGGCACAAAATGTCGGACCACCACCCGGGTCCCAAGAGCTGCTGTTTGGGACAGTACCAAGGTGAAATTGAACAAATGGAAAAAAACAGTTGGGACCCAGGTGCTCAAAAATCTGACCATCTCAAATTTTCGGTGGCATTTGATGTGGCGATCCCCTCACGGCATTGAGGCGCGAGACGCTGGCCAAGCGGGCGGTGGCGCCGGGAGCCCAAGGTTCGAGCAACTTTGAGCTTTCAGTTGCTTGTCCCCGTTGCCCAGTGGATTCCGCCCATTTTTTTTTTTTGGGGGGGGGGAAGGGTTCCGATTCCTTTAAAGTCAACCAACCAAGAACAGGATGACCCTTTTTTCCTCCATGGAAATCCACTGGGCATCTGAGTTATGAATTTGTGCGATTTTCCCTTGTTGGCTAGGTCCCCCGGCTAGGTGCCCTTTCTCACCCTTTTTTTGGTTGGGAGGGTTCCCCTACTAAAATAAACTACAGAGAAAAGGATACCCTTATTCTAAGCTCTCTACTGGAGGACCTTGTCAGTTTTGAAGGCAATCTATCATGAAGCGATGTTTTTTGTTTGTTTCCCCTTGTTGGTTTTCATGGGAAACGATTTCACTACTGGACATATTTCTGTTTGTAGTCTTATTTTTCCAGGTCGCTTAAGCAAATGGAAGATTGGGTCTCTCGTTTTGGAGTCGGCACTGTTGCTTGGTGGGAAACACGCTCCCAAAAAGGAGAAACGTCAAGAAATAGCGAACCAGATGTGTGGGTCTGTCATTTGTTTGAGGCTCGGTACCCATTTGTTGTGTGTTTTAAAAGGAATCCAAAAGGAAAACCGAAGCCACGTTGTTGGGTCCCCTGAAAGAAATTCGGTTCTCAAATGGATGGCAAAGACTGGCAAGACTGGCACAGGCTGGAGTGTGTTTGCGTGTCTCAAAATGGTTGACCCCATTTAGATTGGCATTTGAAGGGGAGCCAAAAGGAAGGTTGCCATGTTAGGAAATGGACTGCTTCCCATTCTTAGGAACCCCCGTGTGTGTGAGTGTGTGTGTGTGTGGTTTTCTTGCGAGGACCCAGAGGATATCCTGACACATACCCAGATCCTAAGGCCATTTTCCTCTAAAGACGGGGCCATCTGGTGGGTTCATGTTAATTGACATCGTGAGCTTCGCTCGGGCGAAAAGCCATAAGCGACCGGTATTGCGCCAGCCACTCACATGGGTTTGGATGTGCGGCGGATTTCGCGCACGCCATGATTTGTTGCTCCATTCCCATGACCCATGGCTTTGCGTCTATGATGAATATCATTCCAAAGCCCAGGCTAAAGTACACCTCCCCTCCCACGACCATTAGCCATTCTAAGGATTTATTTTGTTTGTTTGTTGAGCGTACCTTGCAAACTCAACTCGAGGGTTTAGATCCTGCCCCATTTGCGTAGAATAAATGCCCAAAGTGCAGAAACTCTTCCTGATTGCTGAGTGGGAGAAGCTCGCAATGAAGTACTCTCTTGCGCACTAACATGGCACCAGAGAAATGGTCCCTTGTACAGGAACGTCGTCTTCCAAAGCCCCTTAATCAGATTCCATAATGAATAAGAAGATACCCTCCCAAAGGCGGTTCCTTTTGGTTTCATTTTTGCGCCACGGAAAAACAGACCCTGACGTCTTGCTTGCAAGATGCAGTTGAGTCAGCGTGTTTCGATTGCAAAGCAGCCTAAGAATGATAGCAAGCGGCAACCGGTACCTGTTCCAGATGCCTAAGACTTTCCCCGGGGTTCCAAAATTGAAACCTCCGCCACCGACTCGAGTCCTTCCAGCACCGAGAGGCCCAGCGGCGTCAAGGGCGAGGCGCTGCTCACGGACGACGGCTTCGCCGTGGGGGTGGCCTTTGTGCCCGGGGCCCAGCCGGTTTGTTCGGCGGCGGGGGGGTCCGCCGTGTTTCTCGTTTTTTTCTTTTCGGGACCTCCAAAAGCGGAGAAGACAGAAGTTGGGACCTCCAAGAGTGGCAGAGAAATATGGAAACCGCCAGTCAATTGATCATCTTTTGAAGGGAAATCCAGGAACCCCTGGTCCAATCACGGAATGGGCTTCTGTAAATAAAGCAAGTAGCTCTTTGATACCCGTCCGTCAGCTTTCATGGTACCCTCAGATTGGTTTAAAGAGAAGCCAAAAGGAAAGCCGCAAATTGTTGGCTCCCCTGTTTTGACACATACTCAGATGCCTTCACGAGCGATTGCAGCGATCCGGGGGTATGATCTAAAACTTTGGCAGGATTCATGATTTTCGGTGGAATTGGTTTATAATTTGTTCCCTGGTTGGGCGGTTGGGCCGTTGGAAGGTAGGGGCTGCCGGGTTGCCTTTCCCCAATTCGGGCTTCACATGTCCCCAATGCCCTGTGAACTCTTGGGAGATTCAGAACGGTTGTCCTCCAGACATCTTTCAACAAGTTCTTGGTTTCACGAGAAAAGGGCATGCCGTACATGTCCATTTCGCATGAATCGGCGTTGTTTGAGAGGGGATCACTGATCAAGTGGCTTCTCATGTGTGCTTTGTTTTGATTTCATAGGGTTTTGCCCACGAAGTGGATGCCGCCCGAATAAATAGGGCTCCGCCCAAGAAGTTTCTTGGTTTCTTGTTGGTGTCCCTTGAAGCACGCATCAAGGCGGGGTGGTCCACACCACTGTTACTAAAAACGGAGGATCCCCAAAAGTCGTCGGTTTTCCTTTTGGTTTCCCTTCAGGCTAATAAGCGGTACTTCTCCAATTCTGGCACCAAATGGCGTGCTTAAGACAATCTGTAGTCGGCTTATGAACGACGCCGAAATGACACCGTACAATATCACTTACCCACTGGTATGGGACACTTGCAACAACCCATGAAATTTGAATCTCTGCATATTGGGTGACCCCTGTTTAGGTCCGGACATGATGCAGGGAACCTTGCTCCTGTTTTGTTTTCCCTCAACAGGAACTGCTACTAGCAATCACACCCAGGTTCACAATGCTCAACGGAGGTGTCCCTCAACATTGCAACATGGTTGATTTCCTCATAGTTCCCCTGTCACTAGCAACCCAAAGCGGGTCCACCATTTTGAGGCCCCCCCATAGTGCAGGCCTTGCTATCTCATCGCATCGAGTGCGGCACATGACTTCGACCCCAGGCTGAGAGTCTTCGGCCTTCAGCGCGACTTCCAGTCGCTGCATTGGTTCCAGACGGAGGCGCTGGGAGGGGAGAGCCGCGTGCGGGTCAGGTCCCCGGACCTTTGGTGGAACCACTTTCGTTTTTCCCTGGCTCAAGCCTTGGGCTCGATAGGCTCCACCGTTTGGGGTGGCTCGAACCGGCGGTGCCGGAAGGGTTCCGGGGTTAGAACTCCTGGGCTCTCGAAGGCGGCCAAGCCCTGTTGCAAAGCTTTGTGCTTCGGAGTCCGAGGTCTCGGCGGGGCCTTTTGATTGGATCCGGTTGATGAATTGGGGGAAAAACAAAAAAACGGAAGCCAAAAGTGGGAAGGAGCCGCATTGGTTTCTTTGACGCCAGCAAATTGAAATTGTAGGTCCAAAACTTCAGCCTTTGGAACCAAATCGTAGGGTTTCGGCCAAAGCCTTTGGCGCCAGAATGCGCCAGAATCGGATGGAGCCAAACCCCTAGGGCCGAAATATACAACAACCTTTTCCCCCGGTGATCATGACTTCCTTGGATCACAAGTTAAATTAAGCCCATTCGAATTCTTCGGGCCTTTTTCTTTTAGTAGAACCAGTGGCCATGTTGCGCCGCCTGATCTATTTTCAGCATCTTGGTTCTCCGAAAATGCCTTGGATCCCCATTTCGGCACCCCTTCCTACCTGCTTGTGGCATATTTCCCAACGTGATTCTTTGCTGAAGTGGCTCTGGATGTTAATATTAAAAATGCCCGCCGAAGTGGTTGGTGGACACAAAACCCACCTAGATGATGTGCACCAAAGGCCCCCCCAATTTAAATCGCATGGAACAGATTTGAATCCTTTTGTTTTTTTCCGGATGCAGCTTGGCCACGAATAGTTGGTTAGCTGTCCAACTACCAGCTGATCTGCGGGAGCCAAAGAGTCCCGCGGTTGTTTGTACCCCCTAAACAATGTATGGCAGGGTTTTACTGCCATCATAGGACCTTACCCGTTTTCTTGGGGTATAGGGAAAGCATGTACAGAGGTGTGTTTTCCCAGTTGGGAGCGGGGATGTGGGTATGTCTACAAAGGGGGGAATCAGGATAAATTGCAATTTCCATTGGTTTCCCTTGAACCTAAAAAAGGTACAAGCACGTATCCTGCAAAGGATTCCCTGGACGACAGTTTGCGTTTCCCCCCCAACAGCTGCTTTTTCCATTGTCCACAATCCCAAGTACTGTCCAAGAATCATTTTTGTTGGGGGTGTCGGTTCAGGTTCCATCTTTGTTCTTGGGCGGGTACCCTCCGAAGACCCCCGGCCCGTTCCTCGCGCCGCGCCCGTTGACCCGGCGAGATCAACGACAGCGACATGACCACGGGCCAAGCCCGGGCCGCCGCGGGCCTACCTTTCCAGGAATCGCGCGGGGAGGCGCATGGGGCGCATGGGGCGCATGGGGCGCGGGGAACTGGGCAGCTAAGTCAAAACCGATTCGGGGACTGGGTCGCCCAGCAATTGGTGCCCTTTCTCACCCGTTTCTTTTTTGGTCGGGACGGTTCCCCTACTAACATAGACTACAGCAAAAAGGATACCCTTATTCTAGCCTCTCCACTGGAGGACCTGGGTGAAGCTTAGGGACAATACCCTTGCCCGAAATTGCTGCGGAGGTCCGCCTTCCTAGTTCTTTACATGCTGGGTCGGCCATTATAATACCGGGTTTTGATTATGACTCAGTTGCACTACATGGGTGGCTGGTCTGTTTCAGATTGGACCCCCCTCCCAATGGCTTCGAGGTTTTTCTTTTGGCTTTCCTTGAAACCAGACCCAAAAAGGGTACCCTCAAAAAATGACACACCCATGGCCCGTTACCCATCAGTATTGTGTGATCAAGACTTAATTTGTGTAGTATGACTTTGTGTGGAATACAATCACCCCTCTCAAACAGGGTTCCATTCTTTGAGTACTCCCAGACAGGGGTGGTTGATTTCCTCAATAGGCTTAAAGTTGCATACCCTGGCTCTGAGCAAAAGAAGCGCTTTGAGATTGATTGGCGTACCTGCCATAGTCAGTCGGGGGATTCTCAAAATTGTGGATCTCTGGTTCGTATATAATTGGAAACAGGAGGAAGCCTTTGCCATTTCGGGGATGTTTGTCACTGCTGATACCCATCATGTACTTTGCCCTTTGGAAATCATGCCTGTGTAAACTGGAAAGCAGCAATATGCCCAAGGCAGCCGCAGTCCCCATCAGGGCCTTACTATAAGCCTGTTCTCTGTTTTTTAGGGTGTTACTGGCAATCTAGTTCCAGCCATATAGGCTTTGCAAGATTCCGCTGGAGGCTTGTACTTGACAGTGAACTACAGTAGTCCCAGATTTGTAGGGGGAAACCCAATTCTTCAGGATTTTGGATATTAAATCCCAGATTCATTGGGACACAATCGAGTTGTTTAGGATGTTTCACATGAAATTACAGATTTATTGGGGACAGTCGAGTTGTTCATATTTTTTCCAGATGAACTGACAGATGTTCGGGTTTCCCCTGTTTTTGTTCTTCTTTTTTTGTTCTAGGTTCCTCGGATCTTCGGTTTTGGTCCCCCCTCCTCCTCTATCTCCCCCCCTTTCTCCCTCCCACTAGTCCGTGTTCATTCCCCCGGCTGGCCAGGCGGACCGGCGCAGCAAGCTGGCGGCGGAGCTGAGCAACTTGGCGGCGGCTCTGGAGGCGTCGGAGTGTCCGAGCCACCGCCCGGGCTCGCTCGCGTGGGCCTGGAGGCTTTGAATGTGGTGGGGTGCTGGGTGCTTCATGGTGCTTCAAAGGCCCAGGTTTTAGGGGGACAGCGGCTTTTTGGGGGGTAATCTTGGAAAGACAGATTTAAGGGGGCAACATATATGCATGATTGCCTGAATCATGACCTAATATATTTGGCTTCCTTTTTTTAAAATTAATTCTCCAGACCATACGAATCCGAGCACTTCCCTGAAATGAATCCATGCATTTCAGTCCAAACGTTTCCAGTTTTCATAGTGGCTTGGGAGGATATTCAGACAGTTGCGTGGAAATTCGGGTGTTATCCTCCCGGACGGTGAGTGTTTCTTACTTCGTTTTGACACCACGGAAGCCCGTGGACAGGCTTCTGGCGCGCTGTTTGGTGCAGCGAAGACGCCGGCTCGAGAGGCAATGATTGAGCCAAGGGTTTCGTTTCTCAGCAACATACCTGCATGCGGGGTATGGCTCTGTTTATTTTGAGGGGACCCCTAAAATGGTGGGGTTTCAACTGGTTTCCCTTTAAAGCCAACCCAAAAAAAGGGTACCCTAAAAGAAGGAGGCTCACAGTTAGGAATCCCTGGTCATTGCAGCACGTATACAAAAAAGTAAGGGACTTGATGACACACAAGTCCAAATCATTGTTTTTGGATTCGGGCATTTGCAAACCTGACATTTCGGTAGACGGCAAGGGCACGCGCACAGCCGAAAGCATTGCTCACGAAAGCCAGGGGAAGCACAGGTAACCACTGCTCCAAAAGTGATGTTCTGTGAGGACCTGGTCCAATGTGTTTTTCCGAAAGCAAGCTTTGGACTTCTTGCTCTTCATTGAGTGGTGGCTGCAACCCTCAACCAGGCAATTGTCCCATGTCCTGTCGCGGCATTCCTATTTTCTCCGCTCGCATCATATCATGCTGAAGGAGCCCTTATGTTGTGGTGATGTTTATGATTCACCCAAAAGCGACCGCCTCTTGTTTTACAGAAGGCTACACAGTACAGGCTGGGTGGAAACATGCCAATGTGTTGGTTAAGCATTGAATTAGGTGCAAACCGAGGTAGCCCCCCCCAAAGCGAGGCAGGGTCATGACATTTTGGTGGTTGCTATCACAAACGCATGCGGTGATGGAAAGCGAGGTCAATGAGTCCAAACGGGTGCAGGGTTGATGAACGAGCTGGGAACATACTCTAAACGCAGATGGCCGCAAATCCCTAACTCAAGAAGGGGATTGTATCGATCGTGGACTAATCAACCTGGATTTCAAGGGGTTGTTTCTGCCCATTTCCCCCCAAAAAGCGAGGGATCCCGTCAAAATTTGGGCACCCCTCTATCAATCAAGCAGGGGTTGATGAATATTGAGTTCCACTTCCACTGGTTTAGGGGCAGCTAAGCAAGTGACATGCCTTTCAGTTGCTGCTTGCACGAGTTTTCATCCCGATTGAACTGGAGTTCCAACTCCTTGTAGCCACATTGAAGGTAAGTGCATTCAGTTTGCTTCAAGCGTGGCGGCGGACAGCCAAAGTTCTGCTCATTGTGTCCGTCGTTGTTGCTGAACCTCGCCAACACGTGACATGAGAATGTCCCGTTCGGGAAGCCAGCTGAGAGTTTTTTTTCTGAAGGAATTCTGTCAGTGTCTAGAGGTCAAGGACATGTGGATTCCCCCTACATTATTGGATCTCATTGTTGAATTTCACATTATTAGATTTTGTTAGGGCTCCCCACTTGTTGGCGTGGAGCCTATCAGTCTCCCGTAGTTTGGAATGAAACACCCGTTTGCTCTAGCCTCCAGAGTTGACGCAACTTCAACAAGTTGGTCCCCTTGAAAGGGACACCAACACAAGTTCTTTTAAACACTAGATGTGTAGGTGTGCCTTGCTTTAGGGGACCCCCCCCTCTCCACAAAGAAAAAACAAACATGAAAGCAACAAGTAACGTGATGTTCGTTGTGGTTTTCCTTGAACACCACAACGAAAAGGGCAAACACAAAGGGGAGGGGTACCCTGATACAAAGGCAGACCCAGGAGTTGAGCAAATTCACCATGTCTGATCGAGCGGTTGGCCCATACCTCCAGACTCCAGGAGCCGGTGGTGGAAAGCGAGGCTGTGGAATCCTGAAGAGTGTCCGCCTGGCGCCGAAGAGCGGATGCTGAAGAAATGGCCATGGGTCAAAATCCCGGTTAGGCCCCAGTGAACATCCCAATCCAATGACTGAAATAGGTTCTAAGATGGGTGGTGAATTCACCTACCCCAAAATGGGATCCCATTGGTTTTGACCCACAGCCCAATAGCGGGCGCTCCATCGTTTCATTGAAAAGGGCGTGCAGTGGGCTGGGGTGAGATGGGGTGGGGGGTGGGTGGGGTCGTCCAAGACAACTGTTGCCACTGCTATTTTAAGGGACTGGTTCATTCCGCACAAAAGGTTCCCCAACTAGTTGGTTTCCGCTTCCGCAGAAAACGTTCTTGACGGTACCATTTTTTGGCCTGGTTTAGAGGACAAACCGAAAGCAGTCAACAATTTGGCGTGCCCGATTTTCACCACATACCCATTCACTAACCAGCCAGCCAACCAACCAACCAACCAGCCAAACATGTAGATCGATTTTTATGGCAAGCCCCTAGATTGTTGGACATGAGTCCCTGTATTAATTTCCCAAGGGTCCAGCCACTAACCAGGACTTCCCCCCACCCCACTCCCATTGGCTATCAGGCGGTGTGTGAAGTGGCTTCTTTTGATTAGATCTTTGGGGGCCATGTGACAGTTTCGTTGTTTCTCCCGCCGTCCGTACCTTTTTAAGGAAAGGGGGAGGCTCACCCGGGCAACGAGGCCCTCAGTTTGTCCGTTTTGGGCAGGGGCAGAATGTATGCAAGGCTTCCCAGGTGTCTGTTTTGAAGGAATGGTGCTACGGGTTAACGTCTTGAGAGTAGAGTGCCTCAAAATCGGCCGCGTGTCCATTTAAACAACCCTGCAAAGGATGCCATTCAAACAAGACAAGCCGAAAAGCCAAGGCACCATTTTGGGGACTTATCGGTTTAACACGTTGATCGGCGAACTCTCGATCGTCTCTGACTCGTTAGCCAACGTCTCAAATGGTTGTTTGTTGATTTTGAGTGGGTGCTGGAGCCGAAATGAAAGTGGAAACTTTTGAAGCAGCGCTTGTTTCGAAGGGTCTTTGGCCAGGCTTGCCTGCTCCGAATTGTTTTCTGAGTGACTAGATCTGCAGGTTGAGCCAAGCACACCTGGTCGGCCAAGTTTCAAGCCAACGAGCAAGCTAGCTTGAGTCAGCTTCTCAAAAAGCAGGGCCCCCCTTTGACAGTGTCCCCTTTGCACCAGCTCCCGGGGATCCGTGTAAAACGTGGGGCAGGCAGGTGCTTCTGGTTGGGTTGTCATATTTTTTCTGGGGCGTTGATGTCACTTGGGCCATGAAGGAAAAAACCCAGAGGCTCCTGGGGCTTTCAATGGAAGACCCGACCCCTCCATTAGACACCCCGGAGGTGGTTGGGGGTCTCAAGGCCAGGTTGGTTGAAGGCCCCAGTCGGGAGCCTCTGGGTACTGAAGGAAGAGCGTGGTTGCGGAAGTGCCCGGGTCAAGCGTACTCCAGCAGTCACCTAACTTAGGGCGGTCCGATGTTGTGGAGACGTATGGGTATGGGTCAAAATTGAACCACCAGGAAATGGACCCCAGGTTTTAGTCCATGTTTCCATTCACCAGGGTTCCATTTTGGATACCTATTTTTGACCCACAGCCATATATGATGCCCCAAGTGCTCGCGGCTGAAGGTTTGCCAGACTTACTTGCGAATCAATAAGCCCGAAAAGGAGGTCAACACGATCGATTCCTTTCACGTTGTCCGATTTTTCAAAATCTCCATGTTAGTTTGTTGTTGTTGTTTTTGGGGCGGAGTTCGCCACTTTTTGGCTTTTGAATTAATGACTCCGGGTGAATTTTGTGCAGGTGCCGCTTCTCCCCTACCAACAGGTCGCCCTTAAAGAGTCGCACGCAGGTCTCCACTGGCACATCCAGCGGTTTCTGCTGCCGGTGCGCTTGGTTTTCTGTCTGCTGCCGCTGCTTCCTGCCAGAGCCTCAGGGCTGTTTGGCAAGAGACGCCCAGCATGTTGACCCCAGACTCATCAACCCCTCTTTGGTAATATTGGGGTGTCCCTGGTTTCAGTGGGGATTCATCTTCCGGGGGGAACACCCCACAATAATGAACAGGGGTTGAGGTCAAAATGACCCCGCTAGGTGGGTGGTTTGGGGATTTGAACCTCTCGTTCTTGAGGGCAAGATGGAAACCACACTGTTTCACCACGAACCCACCAGGCTCCAGGCAACCCAAATTAGAGGGAAGCTGCGCCCATGCCCGGTGAGCCTGTTTTATGGCCGTCTGGGTTTAAAACGATTGTAGGTCAACTTAATTTGGGGGTGCAATTCATATTTCCAGGGGGGCTAATACCAAATTAGTGTTGGTTAATTTGGAGGACCCCACTGGTCAGAGGAACCACCTGGTTACGTGTTTCTCGCTAAAAGGGGAACCACCCCCGAGATGAATCAAAGAGCAGTTGCCCTGGCGAGGCCCTTTTTAGGGTGCTCCAGCTTGTTGCCGGGTTATTTTTGTGAAAGTTGCAAAAACGCCAACCAACTTGCGCTGGTTGTTCCCGACTTGAGGTCTCGGCCCCCCCTACAGGACCTGTTCTTGTGTCCTCGCCACTCTTTTTGCCATTTAGGGTGCGTAATTGTTGATCATCGCACCGTGTCTTTGTTGTTTTTGTTGTTGTTCTAGTTGTTGTTGTTGCTGCTGTGGTTGGTTTCTCGTTGTGGTCCTTGTGGTCGTCGGTGCTGTTGGTGGTGGTGGTGGTGGTGGTGGTGGTGGTGGTGGTTGTGGTGGTGGTGCTGCTGCTGCTGCTACTACTACTGCTGAAATTGAATCTTGCAGCGGCTGCGGTCCCGTCTCAGTTGTTGTGGGTATGTGTTTCATACGGCTGTCGCGGCTTGGTCGATGGCTTTGGTTGCTTTGGTGCTTCGGCCTTTTGGGCTTCCCTTGTTGGCTTCCCTTGTTGGCGGTCAAGGTCCCAAAAGGTGATAGTTTCGACATTGTAATTTGGGTGTGGCTCAAAAAGGGGGCCCAATGGGGAACCCTCGTAAATGGAAAAGCAGACTACCACCCGTGGTCTGGCTCTTCAAATGTTGAGCCACACCCATCTCAACCTGACTTTGACTTATTGTTACCTTCATCCCCATTACTTTGAACATGGTTGTTGTTGGGAAGCATTTCACATTTTGCTTATTGTGGTTTAGTGGGAAATCCCCACTTAACTGCTAAGATTTTATTTTTGCTCCCCTTCCAACTTTAACCAAGTAAAGGTCGTTGCCGGGCAGTTCGAATTCCCTTCTGATGTGTGTTTGGTGCCAAGGCCATCTTGCTGCAGGTCACGGACATTTGGGGCAACGCGCGCATCCAGTCGCTCTTCCAGTGCCCGCCTCAGATGAAGGGGTCCTCAGGGGGGTCGATGAATGTGGAGATGTTGAGGGGTTCTCTAAGTTGTCTTGCGCAAAGGAGCTGCACATTAGGAAAGAAGGATTAATGCTAGATTTGCGTGTTGGCCCAGTTGGCTAGCGGCGTCCCCTCACGGGGGAGTACTGCCCGATCCCTTGTACCCTTGCCCTCGGGACAAGGTTCAATCATTGGTTACTTCCAAAGGGAGTTCAACAGCGCGCCTGACTTAGAGGGCCAGAAAATCGTCTTCCAAAGCGTCCCTTCCAGTTTCAAACCGACCGCTCGAGGTGGTTTGTTACCTCTTGGTTTCCTGGTTGCATCCATAAAGTAGGCAATTTTGAGACAGGCTCGTATTTGATTGGCTCAAAGCCCAGGTTTTTGGGCCCAATTTGGGATGTTGCTTGATAATTGTGTTGGCTTGCGTTTGGGTAGGTTTTAAACACGCAATAGCATTGGATACCCTCTGGATGGCATCATTTTGCCATTTGCTAGTTTAAACCACCTTACGGGCCGTATAACGAGGGTTTAAAGAGGGCAATATAAGGCACCCTTCTCAAGCAGCAGGCTTTCCCGGACCAGGTGTGCCTCTTTGTGCGCTTCTTTCCCTCCTGTTTTTTTCGGTGAGCTTCCGGTGAAGCAGAAGCAGGCTGTCCCACTTGGATGTTCAACGTACTTTGGTTCTCACCACGGTTGTATGTCAATCTATATACAAGGTGAAAGGTGGTAAACAACAACCCACCCCAAGGACCCCTGGACCGCTATCAAGAGGTTTGTGACCGGGAAACCCAAAGGAGAACTCTAAGACTTTGCTTTTTTCGGGGGGGGGGGTTGTCTGGGTGCTTTGGGCGATGGAGCAAACATTTAACGAGTTCCGAACGTCCGGCGACAGGTGGCACGCGGGCCTCAGCGACGAAGAGCGCACCGGGGCACAGCCGAAGAACCCGGACCGAGGTCCGAAGCTGTGAATGTGAAAGGGACCGAAGTGGGGGTTGGGGTTTCCGCCCGTGGGGTACATAGGTGTCCTTGTTGGTTGTTTTGCTAGGAAAAAAGATGGCGATTCATGGTTTACCTGGTGGTTTAATCATCTACCAGGGCCATGAATTTCCCCTAAAAGGAAAGCTATGGTAGGGGTAGTGCTGGAAGTTGGGGGATTGCTCAAAGGATGATGCATGATAAAGTGCAGTTAAGTCCAGGTGCCTGTTTCTGCTTGGCTTGAGAAACGAAAGGACAACCACCATTTGTTGGGTCATAGTCTTGACTGCTTCTAGGGGTTGTCAAAGTTGAAAACTGATTGGTTATTTCCCTCTAACCTGTCGCTTAAGGGGTGACGTTGACAAGCTGGGTCAAACAGTTGGGCCAGTGACCCACCAAATGTTCTCAGAAAGCTTCGAAGAACGCTTTGATCGGACCCCCTCCCAAGCAGGTGTTTCTTGCGCCTATCTTGGGGGGGCTTTGGTTTCCGTGCTTTTGACCTCATCCTATCCTACATTTCAAGATCTACAAGTATGGGCAGAACAAATATGGGTATGGGTCAAAATTAAGCCACCAGGGGACCGCAGGTTTTAGTCGTTGTGTCCATTGTCCAGGGCAACCCGTTTTGTGTACCTATTTTTGACGCACACC